GTGGAGCTATGTATGCAGACCTTTAGCTCGAGCGCCAGACTTCACGCTCAAGCATAATTTTGATGCATCCAGCACTTTTTCAGACATGGTGTCCGCTCGAGCGGGGTACTTCACGCTCGAGCGGAGAGCCATGTAGAAAGGCCTTCCGCTCGAGCGCCAAAGTGCACGATCGAGCATAAATTTGATGTATCCAGAACTTTGGCAGGCCTCAAGGGTCCGCTCAAGCAGGGAAGTCCACGCTTGAGCGGGGACCCTGTTTTTTGAAAATTTGAAAAGACACTCTGTGTTTCGCTTTCTGTTCTCTTTCACTTTTAAGTACTCTTAGGGATGCATTGAGCATTGTAATTGAGTTAAAAAAGATAAGAATCAAGCCTAAAGAGGAATATGTGAATTTAGAATGGATCGAATTGTTTGTGACCCTTTTGTGTTCATGAAATGTGTAAGGTCGAGCTCCAGGGCAAACCAACCAACCGATCACTATGAGTAATATCGATATTTGAAACTCATCATTTGTCCAATTACTTATTTCCTTATAAGCCTTATAAGTTTGCTAGTTTGAATTACGGACAAATGTTTGATATCAATGAATGAATGGGCCGAAGGCCATTTTGACATGAATGAATTGGCTGAAGGCTGTTTCGACATAAATGAATGGGCCGAAGGTCGTTTTGACATAAATGAATGGGCCAAAGGCCGTTTTGACATAAACGAATGGGCCGAAGGCCGTTTGACATAAATGAATGGGCCGAAGGCCATTTCGATATGAATGAATGGGCTAGAGGCCGTTTCGATGAATGAATGAAAGTTTGATTGGGCCAAAGGCCAGTTTGTAGGAATCGCAGCCACATGACTTAAAATGTGTATATATATGCTAAATAAAATATGAATTGGGCCCAAGGCCGTTTGAAGCTTGTTGTTCTGCATAACGTTTGTATAACTTCTGCATTTGATATTATTCACTGGGCTGTCGCTCACGCTCATTCATGTATTTGCAGGTGGGCCAAGAGGGGTCCAGACCGAGCCTCAATGAAGCCGTGTGGAACAACCCAAATTTTGGAGAGTCAGCCCTACGTCTCACACATGAGACCCGTGTTCGCCCTTTTGTTGCCTTGTTTATGTTGTCACGTTGGCGAGAACTTTGTGCATACTTGTATATAGTTTTGATGGGTTGACTTAGACTTATATGATCCTATTTGTACAAAACCTTATGGTACTGTTTTTCAGTTGTGGGTTATTAATGTTTATATGTTTGTTTATTTGATGCGCCATGTAAGCACAACTCTATGGACAAAGTTTTAAATTTTACTTCCGTTTGGCCCTTTTACTCTGATGAGTTATGTCTGTTTTGGTTTGAGGCCGTAGGGAATCTCAAGATTACTGGCCGGTTATGTCCTTAACCCATAGGGGCGGGTTCTGGTCATGACAGAGTGGTATCAGAGCACGAGTTAATAACTCACACACTTGTCCAAAAAGGGCAATAAGCGTCTAGAAAAGATCTAGGATGCATTCATGTGATAAGTTTGAATTTGAAGGCATTAAGAGTGTGCTTAAGTGTTTTGATTTGAACAATGAGGCGCTATAAGTTGTGATTTACTTACATTGCAAATTATTTGAATATGTATGCTCTTTAATATATGCATACTTGTGAATCTTTTGTACAAAGCATAATGTAAGTTTAATCAGATGGTGAAAACAAGAGGTGATGAGATAGAAGAGTCCTCTACTGCCAGAATAGATAGAATGGAAAGGTTGATTCAGGAATGGCAACAACCACATCCTCCACCTCCACCTCCGGCACCACCCATGCCAGATAATCAGAATGATGATCGAATAATAGCACTCACCAAAGAATTCAAGAAAATGAAACCACCACAGTTCCACGGGGGACTAGATCCATTGAAAGCCGAAGCATGGGTTCTCGGCATTGAGAAATTGTTTGAAGTGTTCCCTTGCTCGGAGACTCAAAAAGTGCTTCTAGCCACTTTTATGCTAAAAGACGAGGCAAGAAGATGGTGGATGTTAATACGAGAAAATCATAAGGATGTTGACTGGGTGAAATTTCTGGAAATCTTCTATGACAAGTACTTCCCGCAGTGTGTTCGGGAGAGGAAAGTAGCAGAATTCATGGAACTAAAGCAAGACAGTATGACTGTAGCTGAGTATGAGGCCAAATTCACTGAATTGGCTAGGTTTGCACCACATGTAATTGATATTGACTATAAGAAGGCGAGATACTCTGAAGGTGGGCTCCGAAGTGACATTTTAGAAAGAGTGAATGTCTTGACGCTGGAGACTTACTTTGGGGTGCTAGACAGGGCCATCATATCAGAGGCTAACATAGCTAGACAGGCTAAGCCACCAACAGAATGGAAAGGCAATAAAAGACAAGGCTTCTTTTCGAAGAAGAAATTTTTGAAAAAGCAAAACACGGGCTCTTCAAGTACTTCAAATTCTTTCCCAGACGCATCTCCCATGTGCAATATTTGAAGCAAAAGGCACCGTGGGGTTTGTTACCGAGTGTCAGGAGCCTGTTTCAAATGTGGTAAACAAGGGCACATAGCCCGAGATTGTAATCAGAGCTGTGGGAAGCAAGCAGCTAGCTCAACTGCATCAATCCCGAAGCCAGGAAATACTATGCAGAGGCCGGTATG